TTGGAAGAGCAACTTTCTAATTACATTAGAAGACATTTGGAGGAAAAAAAGAAAAAGGCAACGTGTAGTTTGCATACGAAATGCAGGAGGGTCGAGGCTGGTTCACCATCTCCTAGACCCTTGGAGGTCCTTGGAGCCGGCCGTGGGCTGCTGCCTGCTCCCTTCGCAGGAGGCAGCCACATCAGCCTGGCGGAGGGCTGTCACCAGCCAGACATCAATTACTCTTTTATGAATGACCTTGTTTCCATCCTTGCTGCAAGGAACAATTTGTCTTCCGAGAGACTTGGCAGAATCCGCAGAAACGGCGTCTCGCCTCTTGCCCGGTGTATCTTTTAATTCACCTTTCTGCTGCTTCCCCTTCGGTTAAGGGGGTCCGCTCGGATGAGGGAGGGATCTTTTAGTTCAGACTGGGTTCAGTAGCTCTGCCAAACCCCCGCGCTCCCAGGGAAGGTGCCGACCTGCACCCTGCTCAGCTCCAGCTGCTTTTGGTGCCCCAAAGTTCCCTGCCAGTTCCCTGCCAGACTTCACAGCCCAGGGGCGGGGAAGGGGGGGAGCTAACTTCAGATTGCATCCATCAGGTTGCATCCCTCCCTCCCTGACCCAGTTCGTGTAAAACCACGTGACATTTTTGCCTTTCCACTTAGCAAACACGAACCAGTGATCTCAGTCCAAAGGAGGAATCTGTCCTCGGCTCCAACTGAGCACATTGGCTCTGCCCATGCCCTCTCCCTGGGGAGCACCAGCACGTGGATGCCTCACTTGGGAGTGCTGCACCATGAGAGAGGACATGGGAGACAGATTCATTGTGAAAGCAAGATACTGAAGTGCGTGGCGGTGTTATTAAGGACCCTCTACACAGTTCCCTACAATGATACACCTGGGAACAGTAAAGCAAACAGCCTGTGGTGTGCGCTGGCCCTACTGGCACATCACTCTGGGTGAAAAACTGGGTTATATCAGGCATTCACTGAGGCTTTTTTTACCACAGAAATTGTTTGGTGCTGGTGCTTGGAACAGATGTTCCACCTGAACACAAATTTTGCTCTAGATGAGCGTTTTTTTTTAGGCTGGAAATTTCAGGTATAAGAATTTCAGCTGGGATATTCTGGTTGGCATGTTGCTCCCTGCCTTCCCCCGCCCCCCC